TCTCTACCGACATGTTTTGTATATGTACGCTTACATGTGTGTGTGTGCGCGCGCAACTTCGTGTGTATGTATGTGTACAAGCGTCGTCGTGTACGTTATGTGTTGTTTATCTGGATTTCAGCGTGCACTCGTATGTGGATGTATTTGACGTTTGAACTTGATCTTCTGTGTTTTTGCGTTTACATATACTGCCATTCATTATTTCCTAACAGTACATTTATTCCCAGAGAGATTTAGCATTTTTTATTTATTACTTATAAACTTATCAGTTTAATTATTTTTTTTTGTAGATAACTCGAAATTGCTTTTGAAAATGGCAACACTCAAGCTAAATGCCACTTGTTTAACCCTGTCTGCGTCTCCCTAGAAGGTGATTCATTTTACTTGTTTATTATTAAAAAAATTTTTTTTGGCGGTTCTAAATATTCGTTCGCTTGATTCATGTAACTATACATTTAATCCATTCTGTTTATCTTACTTGTTTTTTTTTATTCGGAAAAAAAGAGTTTGTAATCTCTCCTACGGCCGAGGTTCAACTAACATTCCCTGTCTCCGGAAGCAGACTTAGGGATTATCGCCCTTATGGTATTCAGGCACGGGCATAATGTCTTGGGGAACTTGGGGGAGCCATAGAACGGCCTTCACGTTGATTATACTTTTTTTGCGAAGGTTAGTGACGATCTACATATCATCGTCTCATAGATATAAGTTTAATCACTATCGTATCTAATGCCAATGATACTAGCCTAGGAGTATAAAGAGTGGATTGTCATAGTAATATAACCCTTAGGAGAAGCTGGGTCGCCGGAGGTAGCGCTGGGCCCGGGAAAACGTGTGGCTAGCGGAACCCGGCTATAAAGAACCCATTCTGGAACCCGGCTATGAAGAACCTCAGTCCGAAACCCGGCTATGAAGAACCCCAGTCCGAAACCCGGCTATTAAGAACCCCAGTTCGAAACCCGGCTATAAAGAACCCCAGTCCGAAACCCGGCTATTAAGAACCCCATCCCAAATTCGGAATGTACGTGATTGAAGTGTTCGCTTTGGCATTTTACCGGAACACGAGGACACAGAGATCGTCGTCACTTGGTGCTAAGTCATTTTAATCGTCCCATGAATATGCTAATTTCTCTGTGTCGAGAATTAATTAAAGAGTGCGTGATATGTCCCCCCCCCCTCTTGCTGTTGTCATGGTGGAATGCCGTTGTTTTGATTCTATTTTTGTTTAATTTATCCATTTGTTTATTTAGATGTTGACCTGATATTCTCCCTGACCTGTTTCTGTGTTCTGATAGGGAAATAGATACTGTTTTTATATTAGGCAGATAGATATAGGTAGATGGATAGATAGGTAAGTAGATAGAAAGCAGTTTAAATAGATATATAGATGTAGATCAATATATATAGATCAATAGATAGATAGACAGATAGAAGTGGACAGATAAATAAAGATAGATTGATAGTTAATTGGTTTCTGTGGACATAAATGAATATAAGTGACGTCATAAGCAACCCATTAATAACCACAATTTATTCCATCGGCTGTCTTTTTATTTATTTATTTATTTTTTGTTTCTATGCTTATTCCTTTATTTCTTTAATCTGTTCATATATTATTTAATTTATTCGATTTTATGTTTTTTTGTTTATTTGTTTTATCTTATATTTTTAATTGGAAATATTTTGTTGACTTGTTTTTTTTTTGTATTTCCTTGCCGTTCGTTAGTTTCCATGTCCTTTTTTTGTTTTACGTATTTACTTATATTTTAATTAATTTGTTTATCATTAATGTTATCATTTCTGTTGTTGTTATTATTATTATTATCATCATCATCGTCATCGTCATTGCCATCGTCATCATCATCATCATCATCATCATCACCATCATCATCATCATCATCATCATTATCATCATCATCATTATTATTTCCAATATCCGTCCGTTTCCACCTGAAAACACGCGAGTAAAACCCGTAGAGTTATCACACCCAACCTCCCTTCTCGCTTCATGGGACGAAAGCATATTCTCTTAAAAAAAAATATATATTAAGATTTATGTACAAAGAATGACTTTTACTATCAACACGTTTGATGAAAAATAGTTTTTCTCCTTTTTTAAATATATGAAATGAATGGAAGAAGCAGAGGAAGAAGGAAAAAAAACAGTGAATTATGTACTCAGAATGAACAGGTGGGAGGGAGAGGAAGAGGGAGGGAAGGGGAGGGGAGGGGAGAGGGAGGGAGGAGGGGTGAAGGAGAGGGAGGGGGAGGAGGAGAGGGAAGGGGTGAGGGGGAGGGAGGGAAGGGTAGGGGAGGGAGAGGGAGAGAGAGAGAGAGAGAGAGAGAGAGAGAGAGAGAGACCCAATAATAAAAAAAAAGTGATGGATTGTCTTCAAGAACCTGTTTTCTGTTTCTCTTTAGACTGGATTCTGAACCCACCTTCCGTCCCCCCCTCCCCCCCTTTTGCTTCGCCCCTCTCCTCCCTCCTCCTCCTCCTTCTCCTCTCCTTCCTCTTCCTTCTTCTCTCCTGTTCTTCTTCCCACTCTTTCTTTCTCTTCCTCCTCCTCTGCCTATTTCTTCGTCCTCCTCTTCCTCCTCCTTCGTGCCATCCGATATTTCTTCCTTTTCCTTCATCCTCGTTTATTTTCCCTTTCCTTCTCCCTCCATACTTTTACTTTCGTTTTCTCCCCCTCTGCTTTGATGATACTTACGATGGTGATCATAATGTTAATGATGCCAATAATGATGACGAAGCTGATGATAGTAATGATAATCCCAATAAAGATAACACTGTTGATGATGAGTATGATAATGATAATGAAGGTGATAATGATCATAATATTAATGAAAATGAAAATAAGAACAATAAAGATAATGATAACATTTAAGATGGATATAGCAGTAGTAATAGCAATGATAACAATAGTTATGGGAATTGTTATGCAATTATTATGCAATAATTTGCTTGTATTAATTAATCATAATACAGAGTATCGTGTGATTAGACTTAGGCTAAAATATCCACTTTCTTTGGCATCTGTAAATACATTTTAGTTCTTTCGTATATTCGTACATGTTTCTTTGTTTTGTCATGGATTTATTGTCTAAACGTTTAATATTTCTATAACTGATTGGGGCAGAGCTAATGACGTCACCACGTTTAACCTATGAGGTTGCGCTGTGAGTTATCAGATAAAGTAGATACATAATTATTTGTATAATTTACTCGATATTGTTATACATACCAGAAGTAAACCAAAATTCCCCTCTTTTATTTATGATACATAAGAGTTGCTTACAAGTAAATTTAATTTTTGAGTTCAATAGGCTATATGGAAGTAGAGCTACCTGGTTATATGTACCTTGATATTGCTTACTGAGAATAAGGGGAAGGAGGATGGAAAAAAACAACAGCAAAATGAAAAAAAGAGGGGTGAGGAAAAGGAGGAGAAGGGAGAAGGGGAATAAGGAGGAGCAGGAGGGAGAGAGGGAGAATAAAAAGGAGGATAAGAGGAAGAGGAGGAAAGAGGAAGGGAATAAAAGAGGAGGGAAAAAGAGGAAGAGGATGAGGAGCGAAAGGTCAGGGCCACGTGTCCACGGCCTGTCAATCAATTTCAATCCAAAAACATCTAACGCATTTGGCTTACATCCTCCTCCCCCCTCCCCCCACCTGTGCCCCTCCCCCTCCCTCCCTCTCTCGCAATCCTTACACGTGTGGCGTCTAGACCTTGTGGACGGGGGGAAGGGGGGAAGGGGGTGGCATACTTAATATGTCTCTGTGGACCACTTTATCTATTCACACGTGCACGCACACACCACACGCACACATACACACATTTTCAATCGTTGTATCATTGTTCTACATTTCGGAGCAATCTTTGCTCTTCCTTCTCCTCCCTTCTCCTCCAATCTTTACCTTCCTTCCCCCCCCCCCCCCCATCGCACATCCTTACGAGTATGGCAAATGGTCCTGAAGGAGGGAACCACTTTATGAGTACAGATACATATACGTGTTATATATATGTGTATATGTTGTAGTGGCTTTTCTTCTTTCCGTCTTTTGCTTTCTTTTATCCCTCTACGTCTTTCGTTATGCATTTCTCCTCCTTCCCCATAACCCCCGTTCGCTTCTTTTTTTTACTTGTTCCTCACTTCCCCTTCTTACATTCTCTGCCTCTCCCCTCCCTGCTCCCCTTCCCCCCTCTCCCCCTTGCCCCGTTTCATTACCCCATCCCCTCTTCCTCCTTCCTTCCTTCCTCTTTTCTTCCCTACTCGTTTATTCTCGTGTTTCATCATTATTTATTTTTTTTATCTCCTTTCCGAAAGCAAGCACGCACTTGACCCCCACCCCCACCCCCCTCTCCAAGGAAATGACTTCGTAATCGTCATTATCTCTTACGAAGGAAGAGGAAGGAAGGAGGGGAAGGGGGTAAAAGAGGGGGAGATAATTGGATGGATAGGCAGAGAGGGGAGAGGGAGGATGGGGGGGAAGGAGGCAGGGAGGAAGAGGAAAAGAGAGGAGGAGGGTGTAGTGAAGAGAAAGAGAGAGAGAGAGAGAGAGAGAGAGAGAGAGAGAGAGAGAGAGAGAGAGAGAGAGAGAGAGAGAGAGAGAGAGAGACAGAGAGAGAGAGAGAGAGGATGATAGGGGGGGAGGAAATTTTTTTTTGTAAATAGGCATAATCTCTATCATCATCATCATCATCATTACTGCTGTTATTATTATTTCTATTATTGTTTTTATTATTATTATCATTATGATTGTTATTATTATTATTATTGTTAATATTACTATCATTGCCATTATTATGAATTTACTACTCTTGCTATAGGTGACATAGGTGTGTTTTTGTATCCTTATTAATAGCTGTTGCTGCGATATACTATAATAGATAAATAGATGCATTAAAAAGATATATATTATTTAAAATCACTTTCTTTCTTTCAAAATCCCCAAAGGTGTTGATGGTTTGATTATATTAACAATGATCATCTTTCGACAGAGAGGATCCTGATGACGTGACTGGACGCTCGAGCAGCCATGAACTGTCACATATCGCCTCCTTCGGTAAGTGCTCTTTGGATTTGTGTGTGTGGGGGGGATGGGTTGGGGTTGGGGTTGGGGGGGTTGTGTGTGTAGGTGTTGGGGATGGGGTGAGGGTGGGGGGGGTCGTTCCCCTCTCCTTCTCCCTCTCCTCTCGCCATTCTTTTCTTGATGTGGCGTTTGGATGGGGGTCGGTGATGAGGTATATTGAATGTATCTGTTTGTGGATCACTTCGCATAGAGAGACTGATGGATGGATAAATTTATGGATATGTATGTTTATTTATTTATTTATCTATCTGTTCATCTATCTATCTTCTTTCTTTCTCTCTTTCTATCTTCTCTTTTCTCTCTCCTCTCTCCCTCTCTCTCCGTCTCTCTCTCTTTCTCTCTCTCTCTCTGTCTCTGTCTCTCTCTCTCTCTCTCTCTCTCTCTCTGTCTCTCTCTCTCTCTCTCTCTCTCTCTCTCTCTCTCTCTCTCTCTCTCTCTCTCTCTCTCTCTCTCTCTCTCTCTCTCTCTCTCTCTCTCGGTCTCTCTCTGTCTGTCGCTCTCTGTCTGTCTGCCTCTCTCTCTCTCTCTCTCTCTCTCTCTCTCTCTCTCTCTCTCTCTCTCTCTCTCTCTCTCTCTCTCTCTCTCTCTCTCTCTCTCTCTCTCTCTCTCTCTCTCTTTCTTTCTCTACTCCTTCATATGTCTTTTTCTTTATCTTTGCCTCACTGCATTTCGAGTAAATAATTAATGGATTCCTTTTATAATCAAATCGACGTCAAATTTTATTTTTGTGACTGATAACTAAATTGCTATAGTCGTGGAAAATCGATAGTTTCTGCTCCATCTGAGTAGTAAATAACGATTACATGTGTTACATTTCCAATAGTTGTCCCGTGAATAAGCCTATAGCAACGTTTTCTGTCATGTGCCAGATTCCCGTCCTCTAAAAGTTTAGGATAGACCATTATATTTTTTGGATATGCCTCGTGTACTCTTTTGCGTACAAAGTAATTTTATGTAGAGTTAGTGCCATAAGTTTCTGGTAGAGGTAGGATGTTAGAAATATTACTTTCCCGTAGTTTGAAATCCATGTCTGTTTTCGATTAGTAAAGCATGAAATGGTTATATTTTGTAAAAACAAGCCTATATATATATATATATATATATATATATATATATATATTCATATATATATGTATATATATATATATTTGGAGAAACTATAATAAAAAGGAAGAACAGTAGAAACAGAAAATTATTTGTTTCATAGAAAACCTGATAGAGACAAACGTTTAGGGATAACTACTTGATTTTTTATGCCTAGTGATTATATTATTTAGCAGTGATTGCTCTTTGCTTCCGTTCGGAGAGCTGTTTTTCTTTGTTAAAACATTGATAATCAGCACACGGTTTTGCTGACATGTGAATTATTTTTATACAGTAAATATATTTATATTGGCTATATAGAAAATAATTGATAATCAAGATATAGAGACCCCAAGATATGCAGGCACTTAGGCAGCTGCTCAATTTGCTCGTTCCTAAATCCGGTCGTGTGTGTGTGTGTGTGTGTGTGTGTGTGTGTGTGTGTGTGTGTGTGTGTGTATGTGTGTGTGTGTGTGTGTGTGTGTGTGTGTATGTGTGTGTGTGTGTGTGTGTTTTGTATTCTTATATATAGGTATATATAAATGTTTCTGATTGGGCCCTCTTCCAAATTTTGTATTTTGATGTTTCGATAACTTTCAGTGGTTGTAGTAACTTCGTGGGTGTCATGATGTGACAAGTATCTCCATCAACAGAGTAATCCACTTGTGACAGAAATAGTTATATATCGTTTTTAGGTGCACTTTCCGTAGTTAATTTAGTCCTTTATTTACCACCCTGGCTAACTGCACAGGCGTGGGTAAGGTGTGGTACATTTGATGCATGGTCATAGCAATGTATAATAGTATCACATTGCAACTTTAGGCTGAACATTAGTATGATCTGCACGATATCAGTTAAAATGTGATATTCTCTCTCTCTGTCTCTGTTTCTCTCTCTCTCTCTCTCTCTCTCTCTCTCTCTCTCTCTCTCTCTCTCTCTCTCTCTCATAAGTATATCATCTAAGATATCAGATGATATGAATTTATAGTTACATAGATCTCCGCACCTCATGCTGAAAGGCTGTAACCCATGGCACTCTGAAATATAATGTACAAGTGTTCTCTTATATTTTTCATTACATAGTTTACGTTTCTTCGGCCTTAGAGACTGTATCCAAGCCTGATTCTTGCGGTCACAATGTCACATTGTCTTGTTTTATATAAACCATAGATGGATGCATTTTACGTAAACCGGTCATTTATGCTACAGCTCTTAGGGCGTTGAAAATGAATCAACTCGGTCAAATCCTCTTTGAAAAAAGTATTAATGATGTGTGAAATCCTATCAAGAGTTACTCCAAGATCTATTTCCACACTTTGATTGTCACATGCTGACTTTGCTAGGCGATCAGCATGCTCATGCCAAGGGATTCCAACATGCGATGGAATCCACACAAAACGTACATCATGGCCTCGTTCTTTTGCACGATACAAGTTTATCCCGACGTCATTTGTAATATTTCCTAATAAATTAAGTTAAGTTAAGTTTATTTACCACCCTGGCTATCTGCTTAAGCTTGGGCAATTTGATTACAGTTTTCATATATTAGTACAGTATTCTATGACTGCTGTAATTATACATAGTAAAATAAAAATAGGAATCATGCCACCCATGGCTCGAACAAAAAGTCAAGCCATTCCACCATGAAAATATTCAACACCGATCGTGTACCTTACATGTCTACCACAAAAGAAGTGTACATAATTGCGTGTTATATTTAGATTTTTAGTTTACCACGTACACTTACAGTAGCCACAGAATATTTTACTATCAAGGATTATATGAGAACAGAACTTGATTACCTTCTGTTTACGAAAGAATATTATGCATAAATATCACATTTAATGTCAAATCATTTAGAGAGCCCCTCCATTGCACAGAGTTTTAAAGACAACTTAAACACAAAATAGAGGAACTAACCGATTCTCAAATCCATGGATACAAGGAGCATGTAAACATTTAGCTAATCTGAACATACCCATAACTAAGACCCTACATGGACGTTCTGTTCCACCGTGGAAAATGGCGGACCCAAGTGTATATTATACGACTGCCCCAAAAAGACTGACGGATTATTGAAGTCTGGGAGCAGAGCAGGATGCGCTTTTGTTGTATATAAAAACAATATTTTGCAGCACCAGGACTGTAGGAGGGTTCATGACTGGGATAGCACTACGCAGATTGAGTTGACAGGAATACCAAATTTCTATTGAAGCAAGGCTCAGGGGTAATTTTCTGCGATTCCAAGCTCTTAACACTAGACAAAGGTGCAGGAAATATTGCAAATGACATCGGGATAAACGTGTATCGTGCAAAAGAACGAGGCCATGATATACGGTTTGTGTGGATTCCATCGTATGTTAGAATCCCTAGGCATGATCATCAGCATGTGACAAGCAAAGTGTGGCTATAGATCTTGGGTTACCTCTTTCTAGGGTTTTATACACCATTAAAGCTTCCTTCAAAGAGGACTTGACTGAGTTGTTTAATTCTCAACGCCCTGAAAGCTGTAGCATAAAGCACTATGACCGGTTTACGCAAGATTCATTCATCTCTGGTTTGTATAAAACAAGAACAAGACAGTGTGATATTATGACCGCAAGAATTAGGCTAGTTAAGTTAAGTAAGTTTATTTACCACCCTGGCTATCTGCTCAGGCGTGGGCAATCATGATTACAGCCTTACATATATCTGTCACAGTACAGTAGTCTGTGACTACTGTAATAGTACATGGTAATATAGAAATAGTCATACATCATACAAAAATAATACGTTAATATACTCTTGCCACTGTGCTTACATAACACTGTGTTTTTGTTTACGGCAGCTTTACATAGTAAATTTTGGATATAATACAAGTATATCTTCGAGTGTATCAGATGAAATGAAATATTCACATAGTTCTCTATACCTCATGTTAGGGGGTCTGAAAGGCTGTATCACATGACATTCCGATATATAATGCTCAAGCGTTCGCTTGTTTTCTTCGTTACACAGTCTACATTTAGATTCATCTGCACTTCTTGCACCGTGCAGTTGCCAATACATTCTGTAACCTAAGCGTATTCTGGCAATAACCACGTCACATTGTCTGGTTCGACTTCGGTGCCACCCATAGGAGGGCTTGCTATCTCTATACTGATCGTAGTGCCTTATGGTACAGCTTTCAGGCCTTTGAGTGTTCGTCAGATCTACTAGTTCTTCCTTATGAGAACTTTTCAATATATGTGCAACCCTAGCAAGAGGCATCCCAAGATCTATGTTCACAGTGTCTTTGCTGCAGGCTTCCTTCGCCAATTTGTCTACGTGGTCGTGCTTGCTTATGCCGACATGAGATGGTAGCCATACAAATTGAATGTTGAAATTGCGCTCTATTGCACAAGTTACGTTACGCTTAATGCAACTTACAATTTCCTCATCGCCGGAACACACAGAGTCTATGGGCGATGATGTATACGAGTGTTACGTTGACGGATCCGTACAGTCTGGATACAAAGCTGGTTGTGCTTGTACTGTACACAAAAATGGCTCACTACAACACCAAGTTAATATGAGAGTGCACAATTGGGCCAGCAGAATTAGGCTTTTGCCGAAACATGGCGTTTGAATCCCGAAGAGTTATATCGACACTATCCAATTCTCCGTGAGATAATAAAAAATGAGGATACCTTTAATTTCTGTGATTTTCAACATTTTTTCGCATTCCGTTCCTATTCGTTTTATTAATGGCAAATGGAAACAGAAATAATGATAAAAAGAAAACAGAATTGGGCTTTTAAGACGACTGTCCCAGTTTCTGACCTGGTTTGATAAATTATAATCTGTAGCTTGATTAGTATCTAACTAACTGAATATCTAAGAAATGCAGCAGTGCACGGGAAACACCAGCT